TGGGCCAGCTGGTCTAATATGTGACCGATGTGATATAGTGGGCTTCCTACTTGTTGACTTCCAATTCCAGAAAACTAATAGATTAATTATATTTTGTCTTTATTTGTGGAAAAAAAAAATAAAAAGGTGGTAAGATAAGAATGTATAGCTTAGGGGCACTGGCAGGTTAACGTAATTAGAGTTATATTATTCGTAGAACAAATTATTGTAATAATAATTTTATAATCGCATTGTTTTTCATTTACCTAATTTACAAAAACAAATCATTTTATTGTAAAAATAGAAATTTTGTTTTGGCACTGGCAGGTTAACGTAAATATAGTTATATCACTCGAAGAACAAATTTTTAAAATAATTATTTTTTTCGCATTGTTTTTTCATTTATCTAATTTTAAAAAAAATTCATTTTATTGCAAAAATAGTAATTTTGTGTAATTATTTTGTTGAAATCTCCATCAAAATGAGCCCCGACATGAATAAACCTCAACGTATCTTTCAATTGCTGAATTCAAGAATAAAATCAAACATTTTGGACGCTCGTTAATTAATTGTTTAGCTATGTCATATAGTAATTTTACTCACAAAAAATAGTAATTTTGTTTTTAATTTGAAAGATTCAGGTAGATAAATTAATTAAAATTTTAAATGATAAAAATTTAACTTAATTTTATTTTTTAGAAAATGAGATTCAACATCCTTTTATGCGATGTAGATATTCTAAAAGATAAACTGTAAATAAAGTTAAATTATAAATTTAAAACTCCATAATGATTATTATAATAAACTAATACACACATTTTAAACCATGAAGTTGTTAAACTTTCTATCATTTTTTAAATTAAAGATTACTGCGTTGCGTACCTTCTTTATTAAAGTGTACCCATTATTTAATTATAATAATTAAATTTATAAAATTATGTAAACTTTTAGATTAATTATTCTTTAAAATTGTATAAGTTAAATATTTTACAAGCACTTTATATATCAGTCTTTACCTTGGTGCAAAGTCTTTTATGTTAGTTATTTAACTTTACTTTTATTATTTTTTTATATGAAAATATTAACATAATGATATTTTACATAATCAAAGATTTAAATAATTTTTAAAATATCATAATTTAAAATGTTTAACTCATACTATTTTAAAAAGTAATTACTTTCACAAAATATCATTATTTAGTTTATTAATCAATTTTAATAAATAAAATAAATTATACAAAATATATTATTAAAAATAAATATATCTCTTTCTTTCTCCTTTTTACATACACTTGGATCTGCATATATTTGAATTGATTACATATATTTATGTATTTAAATATCTTGATTTTTTATTTAAATTTAAAATGATTTATATAATAAACAAAATATCAGTACTGTTAACATGAGAAGAAGCAGAGTTATTCCATGTTTAACTTGTAATTTTGAATTTAAATATTAGTTAATGTAATTATATTAAATATTTAAAAAAGAATGTTACTGTTCAAAATAATCTTACTCGGTTCTAGAGAACCTATGTTAAATATTTATGTTTTTTCATTTCAAAACCTAGAGGATCTATGTTAGATATTCATGTTTTTTCATTTGAAAACCTAAACTCAAGTTTATCTTGGTGAGAAAAATGTGAAGAAAAATTAACTCTAATTATAACATGGTTTATGGTTTAACTTATAAAATTCTTTTGGTTGATCCAAGAAAAACTTATAAAAATTCTTAAAGAGAGAGAGAGAGAGAGAGAAAAGGAGAACAGGAAAGAAAAAAATTATATGATCTCAAATTCATATAAATTTGTATGATCCTTAAGGTAGAGCTTCTTACGTTATATCATGGTTTTTTCAGTTGCTTGGGTTGCAGGGTACCGTCATGTATTATACTGTTTGAGTGATTGGTAGGAAGTAATTCTGCTAATTAGCAAAGAAAATGTTCCTTCATTCCATTCCATGGAGTAATATCAATGACATTGAATGGACGAAAGTTTTGTCCCACTCATTCAATGGATTATGTGCTTTAATGTTAATAAACATTTTTCAAATTCTAATAATTTTTTATATTTTAATATATGTATATCTATATCAATTAAATGCTTTAATTTTCAGCACTCATGCTTTTGACTTCGATTGATGTTGGATAAGAGATCAAAACATTAATATTTTTAATAAAAGATTACCAATATCTTTTATTGCTGACATAAAAATAACTTAAACTTTTACATCTATCTTAATTTATCACGTCATCTCTGATTAAGTACTGATTTTTTAAAATAAAAATTAGATCTTGAATTGCTTAGACGATGATAGTTGAGAGACTTAATCTACACTCCACCTTAAATTTTTCGCTCTTACGAGAATTGAAACCCGTGTTTCAAGTTGGGGAGTAAGATTAGACCACAGTATTACTAGTCAGTGAACATTAGGTCACCAACCATAACGAAAATGTGCGCAGATATATAATACAATTATGGGTTTTTGCTAAGCTGAATTTAAGCATTTTTATTAAAAAAAAGTATATTTATTATATTAAATTTATAAAAGTATAATAAATAAATTTCACAAAATATTATTATTATTATTATTATTATTATTATTATTATTATTATTATTCAACTTTAAGAATTGGATTAATATTTTTTTACAATTATAATTGCTAATAAAAAATCATAATTATATAATAATTTTCTATTTTAATAATTTTATCTTATTTTTTGTCATTATTTTGTAAAATTAATAAACAATTATTTCTTATAATTTTATCCTTAATCATTAATGTGCAATTTGTAAAAAATAATAAATAAGTAAAATATTATACATGTTGCATTACAACGAAGGGTATTAAAAAATTAAATAATAAAAATTAAAATATTTTTTTTAAATTTCTGTACAAAATATGAAGTGTTATAAAAAAATGAAGAGTATTAATCAATTAGCCATCTAATTTCACAGCTTTTTCAATTTTCCTCCATAATAAATAATAAGCCTATCTCATTTCCCTTTGCTCTTTCCTCGTATCCTTTTCCTATATCTGAAATATCTCTGATATGCAGAATTGAAATATAATCCTATTAATTATAGCAAGAGAGACGCTCCTTTAGTAACCCTTACAGAAATATTGTGACCAAATTAAAACCTCTAGCTAATATAAATCTTGCTATCCAAATTAAAACCTCTAGCTATAATTTAATAATCACATCAAATTACTGCTTTTTTAAATGTTTTCCCGAAGTTTTAATTTACACATGGATACGTATAAAGTCCTAATATATTAGCTTCCATAAAAGTTACAGGAAAAGCTTTTTTTTTTATTTATTTATTAAGAGTGAAAATGAGTTGGATTCAGTTAATTTCTGGAAGGTTTAAATTTAATTTAATTTCTAAATTTAAGATTGATTTTTTATTTAATTTGCACAATTTTTAAGGTTTTATTTAATTTTTTTTAAAGTATGATATGACTGATAAATTTATTTTAAAATATTATAATAATTTTTCTAAATAAGTATAAGCAAATTATTTAAATTAGTAAATATAAACTTATGTAGACCAACGAGTTTAAACTTGTAAATAAAAAAAAAAAAAAATATATATATATATATATAAATGAATAAATTGCATTAATAACAATAAGGAGTTAATATAATATAATATTATCTATATTTATTTAAATAAGCTAATCCGTCAAATCTAAAATTCTTTACTGATAACTTGAAGCCAAACTGTTTCTAATTAATTAAATTTTTGTAAAAAGTATTATTTGATTTATGCAAATAAATATAACCTCAACACAGTTAACACGTGGATGAATTAATAAAGAGTGTTTTAATTTAATTAAATAATCAGAAGAAAGAAATTTGGTGGAAAATATATGTGGTGTATAACAAAATATATAACCTGACTAAAAATGATTTAGGTTAAATGATGAAGCTTCAACAAGTAGTCGCCTATATTTATCCCGATGCAGAGGACACATAGCATATCTATTTTGTCCTTAAATCCTTTGTAATCGAAGGGTCACTCTTTATCTAGGCATTATGTAAAGAAAGAACAAACCAAATCAAGTTTGATCACTTAAACATTTTAAGTACGTACACCCTTGGTCCCACCATTATACCATAAACGATGGTTAGGATCATCATCATCATCCATTCACTCGCAACAATAATTCATATCATAAAATAATAACATAAGAGAGACCTAAGAAGCATGGATGGATGGATGGAGTGTATGAATGAAATAGATTCTAGACAAAGAAAGACAATGAGAAAAATACCAGCCCCCGAACTGTCATTTCCAATTCTTACATTATTTTATAAGGCTTCATTTTTTTATTCATATTTTTAAGGACACAAGTCTTCGACTCTCTTTTTCTTCAACGACCTTTAAATAAAAATAACATCTCCTAAAAAGGTACTATTAACCGGTCTTATTAAAATCTTATCATCGATGAGCTTTTCAATTTACATTTAACTTATTATAAAAATATTATTTATTACTAGTAATATATCATATTAATTGATAAATTTAATACTTTTAAACAAATATCAAATCAAACAGGATAATCATGAATAATATTTATTTTTATTAGTAAATGAATAATATGACTTGATGCAAACACACTACTATTCACTAAGAAATATGAGTAATTTTTTTCAATTAATTATTTTATAAAAAAATTTATTCAATTCTTTAATTAAATTTTAATTTTAATAGGACTAAATATTAACTGTAAAAGTTGAAACACGCTGTTAAGATAAAATTTTAATATTAATTAGAAAATAATAAAAGAATACACACCTAATTTTTTTTTCTTTACAGAAGTCCGAAGTTTTCTGTCCTTCTTTCTCCAGGCAAATACTCTCTCACACTCCACAGACAACCCCCCTCTTTCCCCCCTCTCTTCCTTTATATAATCATAATTATCATCATCATTCTCATCAAACTTATAATAAACATTGGCTTATTTGAAACTCATACCAATTAACACACACAGAGATCAGAGGCATAGCAAACATGGGGAGGGCTCCTTGCTGCGACAAAGCCAACGTAAAGAGAGGTCCATGGTCGCCTGAAGAAGACGCCAAACTCAAGTCTTATATCGAGCAGCACGGAACCGGTGGCAACTGGATAGCCCTGCCCCAGAAAATAGGTCCATCTATTCATCAATATTATTACAAGTCTAGCACACACACACATATATGTATACTCTACTTGGTTCGTGATTTTCCCTATCTAGTTTCACAACCCAAACTTCTTTATGAATTATGTTGAAGGTGTTGATTTCTTTTTTGCTTTGCACATGTGCATGGTGTAGGCCTCAAAAGGTGTGGGAAAAGTTGTCGTCTCAGATGGCTAAATTATCTTCGCCCAAACATCAGACACGGGGGTTTCTCAGAAGAAGAGGACAACATAATTTGCAGTCTCTATGTTAATATTGGAAGCAGGTAAATTCTTTATTCCATCACCAAATACTAACTCCTCTCTCCCTCTTTATGGTGCTGAAATTAGCAATAATCTAATTCTAGATCATTTCACCGCAGAACCTGTAATACCATGTTATGAATAAATAACTCTAAAAATATGAGGTGTTATATGAAAAAACTTCATGTAACATCTTTGATAGTTATTGTATTAAATAATTAATACAAATAATAATAATCATTTATAATATATGCAGGTGGTCAATCATAGCAGCGCAATTACCAGGACGTACGGATAATGATATAAAGAATTATTGGAACACTAGGCTGAAGAAGAAGCTATTAGGAAGGCAAAGGAAGGAGCAACAGGCTCAAGCTCGCAGAGTTTGCAGCATAAAGCAAGAGATCAAGAGAGAGAGTGAAAATTTGATGTTACCTATGGGAGTTATTAGCCAAACACCTTTTTGGCCAGCACAACATCCATGGCCCATTATTCCAGTGGGAAATGCTTCAATCCAGAACTATGATCTCGACAATCAAACATCATCGCTCAAAAACTTTTCTGACAACATGGTCACACTCACTAGTTGTACCAACATGAATTCACAATATACATGTGACATTTCCTTCCCACAAGACCAGTTATATTCATCCACAATAAACGTGGTAACCCCGAGAGGGTTGGTGAGTGCTGCAAACAATAGTAGCACTTTTCAAGGGTTTGGGAACTTCCCTAGTGATTTGAGCGAGTTGGCATGTGTGAATCCGCAACAAATAGATGGATCAATGCTGGGATTTTATGGAATGGAGTCCAAGGACTTGGCCAATGGTAGCACGAACACTTCTTCAACAGAAAGCACTAGTTGGGGAGATATAAACTCTTTGGTTTACTCACCTTTGGTTTCTAATTATGAAGATTGCCAACAAAGAATGCTTCAAGATGTTACTTTGGAGGAACTTAGGTACTTCGGGATGCAAACGCAATAACAGATTCCTACATTCGGGGTGGTGTAAATTTTAAATTAAAAAAAAAGCACTAAAGTGTTCAATTTTGCTTAGTTTGGGGATTTTATTTTATTTTTTGGTTGTGATTTCTTGTTTTATTCGAAGTGGTTGTAACTTCTTACATTTGCTTATTATTAAACATAATTCTTACAGTCTTATTTCTTTATATATATATATATATATATAATATAAAACAATTTATACCCCTGAAGAGTTAAAAAAAATTGATAAGATTTATCATCTAAATGTATACCCGTAGAAAATTATCACTGTGGAAAGTTGGAAAGGTGCTTTGACGTTTTGGCTATGACATGCTCGGCTTTAGCAACCAAGGCATCAAAACGTGGCTGCATTCTTATATAGTTTTCTTCGTGTCTGCTATTTAGTAGGCGTACAAGGACATGTGAGTCCAACTAGAAACAATACAGCATTTAAGTCTCGCTGTCCAACGATTGAGTTTCTCATAGAATCTTGCTGAAAATAACAAGTTAACAACAAACCCATCCGTTACTTGAATTAAAATGTTCTCTTATTGATAGCGAAACTGAAAACGGGTTATACTTCATACCGTATATCTTTTTTAATTAAAATGTATTACAAGATTGCTCTTTGGAATTTGTAGTGTTTTTTACAGGCACTATATCATGTTTTTCTATTATCAATATTTTCAATTTTTTTTTCTTTCAAATCTTGCTATTGAAAATGTCTTGCAGAAATATTATTATTGATAAACTTAACTAAAGACATCACTTTTTACTTACAATAACTTTTGTAGCCCATATTTTTTCATGATTAATGTTCAGCCTTGCGTTTGAATTATTGCTTGCAAAGTATGGTGGATTACTAAATTAACAATTTTATTGGAGTTTCATACTTTTATATAAACCTTATTTTTGCATGATTATTGAATATAACTAATTAAAAAATATATTAGCATTATATTACCATTGGATGTTAAGAATATACAATAAGAAATTGGTTGAAGACATCTATTATAAAGGAATTCGGAATTACATTAGTGATTACATAAGTGGTTATGATCTATATATTTTTTAGCATTCAATTGCTTTGGAGATTCTCTTATTTCACTTTTAATAAAAGATTAAACCTGCCAATATTTGTTTAAATAATTAAAAATTTATTAATAATTTTAATGTGTTAAATAGTCTTCAAGAGATGAACATGGGATTTTTCATACTCGTTTTATTACTTGTCCAGTGCTGCAGTCCCAATACATATTCTTGCTATACAGACTCCCAAGCGTTGTCCCTATATATTGACCTGATGAGTGGATCCTTTTCATGCGTGTATATCAGTTGATTTATTCTGTGACTTACTAATTAAACTAGTGACCCAATAGTTCAACAAAGCTGATTTTCTATCTGAATTCAATAATTAATATAAATAGAAAATAATTTCTTTGTGGTACATTATTTTTCCTTCACTACTATTTTTCGCATATAATATATTTTAAAATTGTAATATTTTTAATTTAAAATGACTCATGGATAATTGACTATGTTATCATAATCTTATTAAAATAAGAAAATTAACATAAAATTATAATTCATTAAAACAAGTCATATACTAATGTTTTCACATTGTACCCGACTTTAATAATATAGTTTTTGTTTGATAGAAGTTAAATTATTGAATAAAATTATGGCTTAAATTTGATCATAAAATATATTAAAATATGTAAATAGATTTTATAATCAAATTTTTACTATAAACTTTTATATGATAACAACTTGTTAAATAAGTATTTAATTAAATTGTTGACCCTAATAAACCCAAATTCCGTAGCAAATTAGCAATTGATCGAGAGAAAGTCTTAATGTCTAACATATTTCATTAGTGAATATGATAATTTTTTGTAAGAATTTACGTAAAACATTCCTTTAGAAATCTAAGTACCCAAATCATGTTGAATAATATTAAAAAAATTATAAATGTCGTTTATATTCTAAAGTGCATCTTTTCCTTTTACAAAAGTTAAATATAAAAAAATTATAATTTACTTTCTTTATCCTTTGCGCAGCCATAAGAGTATCTTATACACAAATATAAAAAATATATATTAAAATATATTAACAGTGTAATTTAATCATAAACTATGATATTAACAATATTTATTAACTTTTGGAATAAATTTAAAAATTTCACTTATTATATATTTTAATCAATTGACAGTATAAATTGTTTTTGTATTAGGAATGTATCAAAATTAAATTTATATAAAAATGTAAATAATAATTCAACTAGTTATAATTATGCATCTGATTACCAATTAGCTGAGTTTAATTAACTAATCAAACATTTGTTTTATAGGATATATGTCATTTAACTTTTGTTCCCCCCAATTATCATTTCTTCCTTGAAAATCAATTTTGTTGCGTTTAGTCATATACATTTCATTACTTTCAATAGTATTTTTGTCTCTCACGATGATTGAATATATTAGGCATTTGTGATTACTTTGGTGCCAAAAGAAATCTATAAGCAATAGCATTATTGCTCTATCAGTACTGTTAGACTGTTTTAATTCCATGCGATTTGAATGTTGGAAAAACATTCTGATAGCCTGTCCGTACCAAATCATGTTTAATACTATAAAACAGTAAAAAGTTAATGCGCCATCAATCTAGAGCCTGTTATGATTTCAGTTAATTTGGACAAGGTTCCTCTAAAATTATATTTTTAAAAGTCACTGAAGTGCATATATGTTCTTGAATTAAAGTGAACTAAGTTTACTAAAACACTTTAAATTAAATAAATTGTTTTAACTTGTTCACTTTAAGAGATTTTTTTTCCAATTAATTTTAAGCTTACACATTATTGATAATGAATGAGCCTGCACAGTAATAATAAAATTAGTACTTAATACGGAGAAGTGCTTATGACTGATTAATTTGTACTTAAGGAGGAGGGAGAGGGGGTAAACGGCGGCTATATGTGCTGATAGGTCAAAATAGACAGACTCAATGAATCAACGATGGTAGCTCATTACCATAGTTGTAATATAACTCATTCAAATTCCCAATATTTATTATTGACTTTCCCTCGTTTGGGAGGCAAAGTTTTTATTTTCCCATATGTCTTGATTTGTCAACACTGATGGTTGATTTGTCATCTTTAGAAACTACTGGGTCCGTCGGCTGATCCGAATTAACCACTATTGACCCGTATTTTAAAGAGTATTGATTAAGAAACCAATAAATAGTATTTTTTTTATTAAGAATCATGTTAAAATATTTTTAAAATATAAAATTGTTTTCTTTAACAATGTATTTCTATTTTTTATTCCTTAATCAGGACCCTAAAGTCATTATTCATCATTTTTTAAAATTTTATAAAGAACTTTAAGAATTTACATTTCATAATTTTTATTTTATTTATAAAATACATCTAGATATAACAATTATAATTAATTTTTGACGTGGTCATCATTTAATGATACTTTGGTGTTGAAAGATGACAAGCAAAAATGTAAATAAATCAGCCCAGTTTAAAATTAATCTCACAATTAAGCAATCTGTTAATAAAAAAAGTTAATTTAGCAAATAATTTTTTATCAAACTTTTTGTAAGAAAATCATAGCATCATGAATATAGACGCGTTTTATTACTTGATAAATAATTGATGCATGCACCTAAATCGTTGATAATTACTTTAGATTCAGCTCTAGGAGAAATGAGAGATTATAAATAAGAATTCCTCATTAAATATTAGATGTAAAAGTACGGAAATATTTAGTGGAATCAATCTCCATTTTAAACATAGATATTACAGAATTCTGTGTATTTGTCTCTTAACAGACAAATTCAAAAATAAACATCAATAAGAAGAATTCAAATTCAGTTGATATTTATTATGATGGCTATCGTGTATATTTATATTTTATTAGTGTTACAATTAAAAAGCAGAAAGTAGAAACACATCTCATCAACCCATCCGTATGTATGCACAGAAGATTTGAAGTCCCCAACTACTAAAATTTAATTTGATTATATAACCTAACCCTTTATTGAGATTAACTCCAAGATACGGTCAACTGTTAAAATGAAGTTTTCTTCCAATGTTTTAAAATTAAATCCAACATCATATGTGTACTCAAATCTCTTCAATTCAGACCAATATATACATGTTGGTGCCAGCAAAGATACATAAGAATTAATTAATATATTATTTTTAAAAAAATAACAGAACAACGAAGTTGCAATTGACAAATTGATTGTATACCTTTTAGTTCAATACAAAAATATTATCATCCATTGATAAATCCCTTATAAAATATGATAAGCTATAATCTCACCCAGTAATAAAAGTCTGTTAATATTACTGCATCATTCTTAAAAACCATAGAATTAACCAAGATACGCAACTAAACATCTTCACCATCTTACTTTTAGGGATTAACCAAGGCTTAGAGCACTTCCGAGTTTAATTTGGTCTTTGAGAGGTTTGCATAAACAGATTGTAAAATAATTAAATTGATAACTAAATACCAAAGAAACTATGGCACATACAACTTAAACACAAGCTTCTTTCTATAATTGAGAAATGGGAAGGAGATGAGTATAGATGGTGACATCAACAAGATGAGAAAAAGGAAAATAAAAGAAAGGCAATGTGGAGTGAACAATAATGGCCTCCGTGTGCCAAAGCATCATCCATCAACCTACACATAACAGTCGTACATGCAAATAATAGAAAAGAGAAGTTATATAAAGTGACTGGGAACGTGGAGAAAAATTCCTTAACAAGAGCAACCATTTCAGAAACAGATTCAAAGCATACCAACAAAGATTTTGGCCTGTTATTTTTAAGATAAGATATAGTTTTAATTTTTTGTGTAGAGGGCACAATATTCTGTCAATGCGATGACGATAGTAAAGGATTAAATAAGTACAAAATGAGAATTGATTGAAGCCTTTTCAAGTCTGCCCAGGCCACGACAAATGCACCCCGACGACCTTCTT